ATGCACTGACATACTACATTAACACTTACTCTGGTTGCAATGTCCCATCAGAAAAGTTCGCCCAGGGCTGTCTTTAGCTAAAAAAAAATTGTGAGATTTGTATTACAAGACTACAGAGGAAAACCAGAAGCAAAAATTTTATAGGCAGCAGTAATGACATAAAAATTATTCTCTCCAAGCACCAAAAATAAGAAAAGTACTTTTAAGTAACGCTTCTACATTGCATTGACTAGAACCACAATGCGATTAACAAACAAACAAAGGTATTTTCCACTTCACTTAGTTCAAAGATTTCATTAATGGGAATAAAACATGATTAAAATGTCACATGTCAGAACTCTCTCTCTTGCTCTCATTCATTTGTAACACAAAACATGCCAAGGACAGCAGGGACCATACATTTCATACATTTCTGCTTTTGTATATGAATTAAATCAGTATCTGGGTATAAAGTCTGTCCCAAGTGCTCTAGTTCCATTTCTTAAACTGCAAGCATGTACAATCTTCTAAATGAAGTTAGATGAAATTTTATTCCTTTTCTTTTCCTCTAGAATATAGATACATTTGAATTCCCTTGGGGATTAAAAAAACCCACATCAAAACAAAACAAACCAAACCAACAGAAAAAGCCCCAAACAAACATCCAAATTAAAGTATTAGTTATATTCAGAATAAAAGCTGTACTTCACTTGTGATATTTCCACCAGAATGTAAACATACTGAAGAAAAAACCCTGTACAAATCTTAGAAAGCTCAAAAGTGAAATCAATGTATTAAATAGAATTACAGGTTTCATGTGGTCCCTTGTATGTTTTGCCCAACTTTTCAATTTATAATAAAAAAAAATCATAATGGAATTGAACATAGCTCAGAATTCCACGTTTTTATCTACAAAGGTTTAGCTGCTGCTTAAGTGTCACTGCAGTGAAACTGGCAGTGAATTGCCAATGGGTTTGTCAGCAATATGGAGCCTGAGTGTGGTCAGAACTCTTGCAATGGCATGGAACAGACCAGCTCTGTGGTTGGGCTCCTCACTATGGGCTATTTCCTAGTTTGTGGGGAAGAATAACTAGTACTACTTTTATGTGTGTATATGTATATATATGTATATATAAAACCACCTACATATATCTCTATATCTCAGTGTGTATATGGGGTTTTCTCTAGAGGTATGCACAGAATTTTCCAGACAGCTAAAATGCAAAACCTTGACCCTGGACAGTTTAAGTCAGCTAGGTTGCTGTTAAATGACCTAATTTGTATGATAACAATGATGAGTGGGTCTATAAGTAGCAGACCCTAAGGTGACAACAGCGGAGTTCATGGCAGAACATGAAGACAGCTAAAGAGGAATCTGGGGAAATTTCTGATGCTGCAATGCAAAACAGTCTGTGGTTTTGGGCAGTGAAAGCCTCTCAGCATGGTGTGTCACAGTGCTCAGTCACGCTCACACACTCCTGATGCTCAGTTCTAGCTGCTGCCTGGCCAGAAATGAGAAGAGGTTTCTCAACTTGTGGGCTTTATGTAGTAGGTGCACTATAAGCCTAGCTGGGCCAGCTATATGTATGTTGTTGGGTTATATATGTGCACAACATGCACAGCAATGACAGGTCTGACATAGTGATGGACCCAGCAGATTTTCCCTCTATGTACCCAATACATTTCCCCTCTTTGTCCAAAAGCCTTGTGTGAGTAGCTACAAGCTTGTGAAGGAGAGTGCAGTGAGGGCTGGCAGGGAGTGTGTTGCTGCCTCTGGCTCCGCAGCAGATATTTGGCTCTGGATGCCCAAGGGATGGGAGTAAAACTTGCTAGAGCAAGCAATGGGCTAGACTAATTGACCCAGATTTAGGCCATTGATTGAGTAATGCTTACTGAAGATGTGTATTTGTGTATGGACAGATATTTGGGTGTGTGCATTTGTTTAGGCAGGGTGGAGGGAGAAGGAAGCAAAAATGGGATTGTTTTTAAGTGTTTGCAAAAAATAGTATGATTTAACACCAAAGTTTGCATGCTCTTATACTGTAATGATTGTCATTTTAAAACTAGCTTTTTGCCTTCGAGCTATCGGGGTAAAGACCTGCGGGAAAACTACTGTCGAAACCCCCGAGGGGAAGAGGGAGGGCCGTGGTGCTTCACCACCAGTCCAGAGACACGCCATGAAGTCTGTGACATCCCCCTCTGTTCACAAGGTAACCTGGCATGGCTCATGCAGAAAGTTACTTTTCTCTGCTGAGAGCAGGTACGCAGAAGTTCCACTAGTTTCACTGACACTTGATTATGGACTTTGGAGAAAGAATTGGTGATTTCTCAGCAAGAACTACTCTTGTTACAAGAAAAGCAGTTATTACAGAAAGAGGAGATCTTGTTATGTTCCAGTACTCTGGAAGACTTGAACAAGATTTTAGACTCAGCCGCCTTTTTTTCAGGTCATGGAGGAGCTGGAGCAATGAAGTTGTGCTGATCGCACAGATTTGACCTTTTTTTCACTTATCTAGTCCATAGAGAATCCATTAACATTGCTATTACTATATGATAAAATCATCTTGTGCCATTTCATGGTAAAATCAACTTTTCTTCTTCTTTCGGATGGATGAAAATACAGATAATTATAGGAAAAAAGATCAATCTAAGCATGCTTTTTTCATTTTTTCTTTCAAATGAGTACTGTAAGTAAAACTTTGTATAAATCCATTCCCATTCGACTTTCAAGTCACAGGATTTGAAAGATATTTCATGAGCACCCTTGCATTTGTTGAATTTTTAGTTCTGCTAAGCTCCAAACTAAGCTCTTATATCTTGCTAATCAGCCAATTCAGTTCCAGTCAATCAACTCATTTAAATTCTCAAGATAGGATGACTTTAATTTTCCTGCTAATGTGTCATGTGCAATAGTTATACTGTGGTGGGGGAAGAAAAGGGAGAAGGAGGGAGAAGAAGGGAGGGAAGGAGGAAGAGAATGATTTACAAGGAGCTTGAAAATCTGTTAAAAGCTAACATTTAAATATCAATTTGAGCTTCAAATGTGATAAGACCTGGAGCTCACTGCAGGATGAAGACTTTGGTAGCGGATGTTTTGTCTGAAGTGTGAGATCTGTAATTGCATGAATTGGTATTTACTAAGTGATCTTTTGTTACAATTACTCTAATTAGGGGGCACTTGAGAAATGTGTCTAGTTAGTTATGGTGAATTTACTTTATATTTTAAGACTTCTCATTCTAAATTATAGAGGATATTTTGTTCAGCAGTGATATCAAATCCCACTGGTAGATTTTGCCCGTTCTCCCTCCACCCCCCACTTTCCCAAACCAGGGCTGAAAATGTATCTTAGCTTAGGCTGCCAAAAAGAATTAGTATCGAAAAGAAACAGTATCATATGCAGATGAATGTTCTGGGAATTTAAAGAAACAGACTGTACTGCACTGAAATTGTGATTCAGCCATTATTCTGTAAACTTGTGCTGTAATTATGCCACGACTTTGAGTGACTTAGAATTATTATTATTATTTAATTGTAAAATATCTCCCCTAAAATGTACTCCTTCCTTAGAAATGTGTGTCTCTCTCTTACGAACCATAACTAAGGTTAAAAATCTGCTAGGAACATGAATGCCTCAAGCAGCTCACACTCACCTGCCTCCAAATCATAAGTGTCCTGTAAGTGAATAAAGTGATACCAAATTTAAGCATCTGGATTAGGTCTAAGATATGCAATTCTATTCCAAAGGACATTTACCATACCAACCTAACTTAAATGTATTACTTTTTTATATCTCTTTAGGTTGTTTTCAATTTATAACAGCAGAGATATGACTTAATTATTTTATTTGTGTGTGTGTGACAAGTCATCGGCATAATATGCTACCTATTTTTTCTTCCTAGTTGAATGCATGACCTGCAATGGAGAGACTTACAGAGGGCCAATGGATCACACCGAGACAGGCAAGGAGTGTCAGCGCTGGGATCTTCAGAGACCACACAAGCACAAATTTCGTCCAGAGAGGTAACCTCTTTCCCCACATCCCAACGAAATTCATGTGGTTATAATTTGAAAATGACACACATTTGGGATCCTATTAGGCAAAATCAACATCAGCTGAACTGAAGTTTGTGGAGTTCACCAGCTTTGGTTGCTTGGGCTCTTGAGCCATGATGTCTGCAGGCTGGCAGCGGTCATGATGGAGATGAAGGATGGTGACTAGAGGCTATGTCATGCAGCTGTGGCTACATCCCGTGGTTGTGTAGTATAGTGATGGACATGTGCTGCACTATTTGATCCAAGTCTCCTCCCTAACTTAATTTACAGTAAAAAATAAACCTCTGAATGTTTCTGTATATGTTGTTATGCAGCTTCGATCAGCTTAAAATACCTTAAAGCAATCACAAAGCAAATAAAGATTAAAAGTAATAAATTTTTGTTAGAGTTCTTAACACAAGTAGTACATATAAACTTGCAACATTGTCAGAGTACGCTCCATTTTTGAAATATTGAACAGCTTTAAAGTTGTAGATGGTCTTCTGTTGTAATCACGTTTAAGTATCCAAGTTGTTTCAGCAAAATGCTTGCCCACTACGTGTGTTTTTTTCAGCCTGGGGAAGGAGTTCATCATTATGTTCAGCATTTTATGTACATGGATTTGTATTTTAGACTTTTTTTTTTAAGTTTAAGCATAGATACCTAATGCCAAAAGATAAGTCAGAAATAGCAGGATAAATTGCATCCCCATTACACTTTGTCCTAAGGGGTAAAATTCACCCAGCCGCAAAGGGTCATCTATAATACATCGTTTTGGAAGGATTTTTTGTGGGGATTTAGGCCACACAGAAAGGCCTTTGTGTTTCTCTTAAACTGGACTAAAGTTTCATTTTAGTTTTACTCTGGATTTTTGATTATCTCCATTTATGAAGTGGATTGAATAAACTTAAACTGTCAGAGGAGGACTGCAAGAATCAACAAACTCAGAATGATTGAGACCTTTCATCGAATGTATCTTTACTTATATTTGGGTGTTCCACCAAATAAAGTATTATTTTTTACTCAGAAATACAGGTACTGGTAGATTTTAGAAAGCCTGATTATTCAGCAAAACGGTAATGAACTGCAGTTTTGGAATTTAGGAGATATAACCTCTTTTTTTCTCTTGGTTCAGATGATCTGCTTCATGAATAATAGCAGGCAGTCCTGTAGTTCTGCTACAATAAATATTTTGCATTAACAGACTGGGACTGAAGATAATCTGTTTCTGGTTTTTGCCATGCATTTGCTGTGCATTCTAGAATAGAATCTTTTTTGTTGGGAGTGAAACATTTATTGAACTTCTGGGTACAAACAATAATAATTTTACTGTCAGGAGGAAATCATATTTTTCTGTTAATTTTGGATTGTTTGCAAAATGATTTTTCAGACTAACTGCAATCTCACAATCGCCTTCCTCCCTGAAAGATTCGCCTCAGAAAATGCCTTCTTAAAAGTTTTCAGACTGTAACCAAAATGCTTTTTTTTTTCCTCCCTGAAAGATTCTCCTCAGAAAATGTCTTCTTAAGAGTTTTCAGACTGTAACCAAAATGCTTTTTTTTATCAAAAAACTACCCTTCCAGATTGAACTGATCTGTATGTGCTTTCAGAAGAGTAACTGGAGTCCAGTATAGTTAATTAACATTGATGTTAATTAACTTCATGAAGTGGTCACTAAAGGTAGTGATAATTATACTTCGGTTATACTAGCTTTTAAAAATATTTGGGGATTTGGTTTGTTTGTGGTTTTTTAATAGTTAAGTTGAAAATAAGAGAAGTCTGGAACAAATGATCCATTAAAATGCAGCAATCTCTAGGGATGCTTATACTATACCATGTGAGGGTAATGTGAATAACCAGGAAACCAGGAGGGACTAGCTGGACAGATTTAAACTTCTTTTCATTTCTGGAATCATCAATTGCAATGACAAAGACAGAGAAGTAAAACTAGTAATCTTTCCAAATGCTCCAGTCTACCTGCTGCAGAATAACGTTTTCTGCTGAGGGTGAATACACCTCACTTTTCCTTTCTGTCACCTTGATGAATGGTTCCATATGTACTCCCTTTAGAGGTCAGTTACTGAAAAGAAATGGTAATAACTGTTTACTTAGATGTGATTGAAGCTAGCAGTAGGAATCCCCCCAAACAGCTCCTGCATGACTTGTTTTTAGCTAGCAGTGGATGCAGAATTGTATTCTGAAGCTCTAGTTCCTGTGTCCTCCTCATGGGCAGGATTACGTCTCAGTATAGAAAGAAAACTGTGGAGGATAATGTCTCAGGCATAGAGAAGCATATTTTCTGCGTAAAATTAAGTATGTTTTGAAAGTATGTACTTAAATACATAGAGAAAAGTAGGGTTGAAGTGTGCTATAGAAGTTGAATAACTGCTGGCATACTTTAATTAAACTACTCTGTTTTATATCACTTGCATGAAAATTTACTTTATACAGGATCAAGTTTCCAGCCCTGCATGTCTTTTAAAACAAAAAGAAGGCAAAAAGAAATATTGGTGAACAGCTTTAGAGGCTAAGTTTCAGTTTAGTTCCAGCAGAGCTAGAAATCATCATCTGCCTCTTTAAAGAAAATAAATGTTATCTCTTCATCTAACACTCTTCCCCCCCCTTCCCTGAAACTGAGAAAAAGTCTTGCTTTTGACACCAGATGTGTATCTTAATGCTTCATTTCAGTTTCAACAATGAAGTACAGCTACTGAAGTTTCAGCGGTGGGAGAGGGGAAGAAATATGTAGGATTCTGAACAATCTTGGAAACCTCAGGCTTTTTGTTGGGTCTAAGCAAGAGGTCTGTGTATTGGGGAAGGAGAATTGTGCAGAGCAAAGGGATGAGCCTTCAGGGAATCCGCCACAGTCTCACTGTTGAATTGTGTGGAAGAGTTTGAAGCCCTGCTGTTTATCTTGTCCCTAGTATTTGTTAGTTGGCCTTTTCTATAGGAGCTGAGAAACTGTTGCCTACTGGATATGAGGGAAGGCAGAAACATGCCTGAATATTCAGGGAAGAACCAGTGACTGCAAAGGCTGTTGTTGCTTTAAAAAAGGGAACATAGATGTAGCAGGTGGAAAGGTACAGTTCATGGGCACTACTCCATGCAACAAAGACACTTAAAGCTGGATCTTGAAGATCTGTTCCATCTTTACTTAAGTTAATAAATAATATATTTTTGACATATTGTGGGGACATATCACATAGTATTAGGAAGGACAGAGCATCCAGTGTTATGAAATGACAACTGTTTTCTAGAAAGTGGATTCTTTAGATTCCCAGTGGTTTTGAATGGGTTTTGGGAGCTGTGACTGCAGATACCTTGCCATTCCTGGGCTCACCTCATTTCCTGGGTAGTGCCATGGACTCTCCATTCCTATGTGACGTGCTACTAACATCAACGCTCATCACTGCACCTACTGGGTGTCAAAAGACATCTATTTGTGCTATGTTACTAGCCTGTTTACTGCTTTCTGGTGAAATCCTTGGACACAATTTGTTCCTTTACAGTTAGTCTCCTACCTAGCAGAAAACAGGGTTCTGATGCTAGATTTGAAACTAGTACATTCTTGACTGCCCTTGAATTTTCAGGTTTGTGAGGTTTGTCCTTGGTGGTTTTGCTGTTTGGTTGTTGTTGTTTGTTTGTTTGTTTGTTTTCTGTTTTTATTCTACTTAAATCCCATCCCTGTCCTTTGTATAGATGAAGGAACCTGATTTTTCCCAAGGAATGAGAGATCAAGTTGCAATGAGTTAAAATTAGCATGATTGTTTGACAGAAGAAGCATCCTAGCAAAAGTATGCACTTGTAAATCATATTTTCTTCTGCTTGTGCGAAACACATCTGCTTGCAGTTGTAACTGGGTTCAGGTTCCCAGGTAGTTAACTTTATTCTTCTCTTACACACTTTTCATCTTTTCCTCAGGGACAAATCTACTTTCTATTTCTTTTACAAACATGTTTAAATAAAACTGTAAAACCAAGGCAATTTTTATTCGCTAGGGGAAAAGAGTATGCATTTATCTCCTTCTCTTTTATAGAGGCTATATAGCACATTTATACACAAAGAACCTCCTTATCTTCAATATCTGCCTGATCATTCAGTAATGGTGGTAGGAACGTGGAAACAATTAAATGGCACAATAGTTTCAAATCTTAATGAGATAAAGGTGACAGAAAATAATTCCTTATTTTTCTCCTTTTTTTCCCCAGTGCTTGAAATGAGGGCATGACCTAGAATGAGCTCTATTACAAAAATGGAGCTATCATTAATAACATAGCTGTTCAAAATAGCTTCCAGTTTGAACCCAGGGCTGTTGCACTGGAGAACCTGTTTTCTTAATGAGTCCAGCATGCCAGGCAGTGTTTATATAATCCGCACTTAATTGGGCTGTTTCAAAAAAAATGAGTGGCTTTAGAGTCTGGTCATCAGTTGATGGACACAAGAGCAAGAGTTTAGCAATTAGCAGAGTTACCCCATCCGGTATCCTGTGCATTAACACAGCAGGGAATCCCCACTGTGGAGGTCTGATTCTGCTGCATATTTGGAAAGAGGTTTTACGTTATTAACTTTCTAATAGTGTTAAAAGTATTTGCATCCACCTTAGGATCAGACTCCAGGTTAATAGAAACTGGTTCTTGCTTGCCTCTGCTGAAGACTGTCCTTTAAGTACCTTGTACAAGCCAATGCAACGTTGCCAGGAAGACTTCCCTGACACATTTCTTATTGTGGTTTGCAGATATCCTGACAAGGGCTTTGATGATAATTACTGCCGCAATCCTGATGGCAAGCTGAGACCATGGTGCTACACTCTTGACCCTAACACCCCCTGGGAGTTCTGTGCAATTAAAACGTGTGGTGAGTTCAAGCAAAATTTATTACTTCCTTTTCCTTTCCAAAATCTGGATACAGATATTTCAAGCAATATAGGACCACAGCTAGTTCATTTATTGCCCTTCACTGACTTTTAAAACATAGCTTTCAAAGAGGATCTCTTATAGCAACATTATATTTAATCTGAACAGGAAATAAGAGTTGTGACTTACTTAGCACCAGAAAATGTGTATATGTCATACAGGAATTTGCATTAAAATGTAGAAAAATCAAGAACTAGACCAGTGAGGCAACATCATCATGAAGATCTCATGTGCAATATTAGTTTGGAAATGCTGAGCATCCAGATTACAGTTTGGGAGCAGGTGCATGCACCTTTTCCCTACTCAGTGCTCTCTCTGTCAACAACTGTCCACTGCTTTGGTTTCCTCTTGCATACTGTGTGCTTCTAGGCCTTGGTTCCTGCATGCTATTCAGCCTTATGATGAAGACAGAATTATTAGTTTCCTCATGGGTTTCTCTGTGATATTAAGCACTCCAGTATCAAAGCACTCCACAGGCAATTAATTTCTTTTCATCCATCAATTATAAGATGGTGGCTTTTGTTAGCCTCACTTTACAGACATGGAATCGAATCCAAGTAACATTAAGGTATATAAATATTGGATGCCTACTTTGAGATGCTATAGTTCAGAATTTTTAGAGCATTCTGCAGCATGCTTTATCTTCAAAGACTAGACCTTCCTAACTTCGGTGCTAGATCTGACAGCCCTGTTCTACTGATGATTAGTTGTCTTAAGTGAGCACTACAGAGACAATTAAGGAGGTAAAACTGCTGGAACTCACATGAAAACTTGGGTTAGGTAATTTTTCTCGACTTCCATGATAATGCTGGGGCTGAGGCAGGTGGTAGAATTCAGTTTTGCTGGGACATGCTTTAATCAGAAAACTAAGATTTGCATCCCTGAAATTGCTTACCTCATTCACAGCTCAAGGGGTCTACAGATGATAATCTCTTTTATCTCACATACTTCTCATTGCCAGATTTGGGGTCCAGTTTTTTCCTTCCCTTGGTGAACTGAAATGTGAAGTAATCAATGTACAAGCATGATATTAAAGTCAGACTAGTATTACTTATGCAGGTTTTGGTTTTTTATTCTCTTTACTCAAAATAATTTGCTTATAACATCTTGGGAATAAAGGCAATTTCTGAAAACAAGACATGACTTTAACTGAATCCGCACTGTAGAAACCTGTCAGTTTCATATGCCCCAGTCCTGTGGCAGAGCCCCAAGGAAAACAGGCAGAAAAGGGAAAACAGTATTTTTTGATTTTCTGTGAAATAAAGGCAAAAGGAAGCTTCTAAAACTTCTGAGTGAAACTCAGTGTCATGTTAGCTCATGAGAAAATCAGTTTCTGTTAGATCTGCAGTTTTGGAAACTATGATTTCCTTTGTTGTCCTGCTTCAATTTTGACCAAAATTAAGTGTAAAAAAAAAAAAATCCTCGAAACCAGACACTCTGTTTTTCGTCTAGCTCTAAGTGTCACTTTAGTAGGCTTATGGCACTGTAAAATTCATTTGGTTCTCTTGGGAGGAGGATAGAAGAACAGAATAGATTCTGTTAAAAAAGAACAATAAAGCTCACCTGGAACTAGACTTATGTAAAAATTCAAAAAAGGGAAAAGAAAAAAAAATAAGAAAAATAATGCTAAATATAAAAGGAGTGATTTTTTATGACAGTTTAATTTGCAGGGTTCTCTGTGTTTTGTTGTTGTTATATAAATCAAGACAAACCATTCCTGGGGTATCTGAAATCCAGATAAAATAGAGACAGTAGTGAATCTTACAGAAAGTCTGTTTCCATAATATAATCCTGTATTATTTTTCCCATAACAATAGCAGACATATAA